CAATTAAACTCACAAATAGACGATTAACAGTCAGGCAAAGGTATATGTTACTTCTCTTTGTTTTCTGATTGCTCTAGAGCAGAAAGTATTGAAACTGGATAACATAATAGACAAAAATATTTTTTGTTTTTCTTTTTGAGATGGAGTGACTTGTTTTGTTGGCCCCAGGCCCTGAGTGGCAGTGCCATCTTGGACTCATCTGCACCTCCGGCCTCCCGGGTTCAAGGCGATTCCTCCTGCCTGCAGCCCTCCCTGAAGCAGCTGGACTACAGGTGTGTGCCCCGATGCCGCAGTAATTTTTGTGTATTTTATAGAGACGGGGTTCGCCGCATGTTGGCCGGGTGGTCTGGAAGCTCGCTGGGACGCATGATCAGTGGTGATCGACCTACCCTCGGGCTCCCAAAGTGGCTGGGGGTTACAGGCCGTGAGGCCCCAATGCTCGGCTGACAACAAAAAGTTAGTAAGAGCTGAGAAGTCCAAGGTCAGAGGGCTGCACTTGTGTGACGGCCTCTTGCTGGTGGAGACTCTCTACAGTGATGACCAAGGCAGTGTACGGACATTTGCATGTGTGATGGCAGGCTGAGGACTATGTGGTCAGATCTTTCTTCCTCTCTTCTTATAAACGGCCACCAAGTCTCCCACAACTATCCATTTAATTCATTATTCCCTCTTAAAAGGCGCTCCCGCCTCCCGGTAACATCCTATCACATTGCGAGAATTAATTTCTTTCTTTTTTAAAAGTTTTTGACGAATGGAGTCTCCCCTCGTCATCTGGTGGCTGGTAGTGGTGTGGTGGCTAGTCTTGGCTCCTGCAACCTCTGCCTCCCAGGTTGCAAAGAAATTCTCCTGCCTTGGCCTCCGAGTACTCGATCTCCTGACGTCGTGATCCGCCCGTCTCGGCCTCCCAAAGTGCTGGGATTACAGGCTTGAGCCACCGCGCCCGGCCTGTTTTTTCTTAACATACTACTTTTTATTTAATTCGACAAATATATGTTAAATAAATGTTTTAAGTCCTTTCCCTGTGCATCAAATTTGTCAGATCTGTGTCCAATCTAAAGTTTAAGTCCACGTGGCTCTTAATCTCTCTGAGAAGAAAAGCCTAGTAGGAAGGATAAATGATATGCTTATTTGATAAATATTTATTAAACTTCCTAATAGCAGGAATGATGCTAGGCACTAGGCATGCAAAGGTGAATTGGTCAGGGTTCTGGTGCTCCAGGACTCACTGGGTGTGATGGGAATTGTCAGTTTCAGTTGACAATAATGTTACCAGCGGAAGAGATCGGAGTCATCCTGAGTTACCAGCCGCCTGTCCAGCCTAAGATCTGTATAGGTACGCAGTAACTTTGGTTCTTGCCTCCTCAGGAGAAAGAATTCTACTGAAGGGCATGAGGAGCGAGACAAGTTTCAGAGCAGGAGTAGAAGTTTATTTAAAACGTCTTTAGAATAGGAAAGAAGGAAAGCACACTTGGAAGAGACCCAAAGAACAAAAAGGGAGAGTCAAGTGCCCCCATTTAACTGTGATACTAGGACATTTTTTTTGAGATAGAGTCTCCCTCTGTCACAGGCTGCAGTGCAGCGGTGTGATTACAGGCATG